GAGCAGAGCCGTGTCTCAAGAAATCCTCCAATGCATCTCCCTCTTTCTGAGCATGTCCATCTATGTGGCTTACGTAACAATTTTCTAGTATCCCTCAGTTGTTCATTCAATGTTTTTTTCAAGCTAGAACTTCGGGAATATTCTGCCTTCACAGCAAGACATGCATACACTTTTGTCGCGAACCTGTGTCAGAAGCTGTGGGAAAGGCAGAGGAGCAGTCAGTGGACATCACAGAGAAGGTGGCATCTGAGCAGACCAGAAGGACAGGAGCAATGAGCCACCAGGAACGCTCGGGGACAGTATTGCAGGAAGCGGAATGAAGCAGGATTGAAGGATAGAAGGCAAGTCCAGGGTAGTCGGCAGAACTCTAAGGAAACCGAGGGCTGTGCACAGAGTGGACGAGGAGGGAAGCAGAGGGCAGGTGGGAGGAGAGAACAAGTAGGGCCAGGTAAACTGTCGAGGCTTTGGCCTGTTCCCTTAAGCTTTATTTAGGAAATCACAAGTACTATGCAGTTCAGTACGTACCACACGTCCAGTACTGTGCTCCTGGTGGCAAGCGCAAACATCTTGTTAAGGCACCTTTTTCACCTGACATAAACATTCCTAGGTACTTAAAGATCACAGTCCCAGGAATTTTGCCCCAGCGTGAGAGGGGAACACAGTGCACAGCCAAAATAAGTCACTACAGAGATGAAAAACAGAAACACAAGAGAGCAGACAGTTGATTCCTATTTGGTGACCATCGGCAGAGGTGAATGTGCTGACTGTTCAGTCACAGTGTTTTATTCCCTCAAGGAACGATCCACAGCACATCTGTGTCCCCGTGTGAGCTGTTGTGTGCTTTAACAATCTCACCTTGGCTGCTGTATTGAGCAGGGCAGGGTGGACACGGAAGGGCTGCAAGGAGACCACTGTGACAATCTGGGTGAGAGGCAGTGGCATTTTTTCACGGGAAATAAGCGCTGCTGTGGTGAATGGTGATCAAATCAGATTCTGGATATATTTTCAGGTAGAGCCCGCTGATTTTTCTGAAAAATAAATCCGATATTGGGGCGGAGAGGGACGAGAGTCAAATTCAAGGTTCCGAGCCCAAGCAAGTGGAGGGGCGGAGTGCCCCTTAGTGACCCGGGAAAGACTGCGCTGAGGGAGGTGGTGGGTGAGTCAGGAACACTCTTGGGGCAGGTTGGGCCGCGTTAAATTGCGCGTGCGGATTAGACGTGGGCGTGCGCACGTGGAACAGGGCAGGTGTTTACGCAAGGCTTAGAGTCAAGCTTGAGACGTGAATGTGAGCGTCAGGCAGCACAGGATGACACTGAAGTCCAGAGACTGCCTGAAACCATGAGCCACGAGGGAGGTCAGAGTGCTCAGCTGGGGCTGCCCGAGTGTGAGAAGCAGGCTGCGGCTGAAGGCAGAGAGCACGTCGTTGTGACGTCCAGGGACAAGAGTGGACCCGGAAGAGGGCGGGACCACCTGCAGTGCTGCGGACAGACCGAGGTGACCAGGAACAGGACGGTGGCTGGGAGGGGAGGCCGCGCAACGCGCTTGGGGCAGTGGTGAGAGACACCTGATTGCGGTGACTCAAGTGCGCAAGAACGGGCCCGGAGACGGCGCCGGAGGGCAGGGTCCGCAGGAGAGGGACAATGGGGCAGCATTTGGAGAAGGGAAGAGCATCCGACTGTGTCGTCTTGTCTTTTTCAAAGGAGACAAACCAGCTGTGGGCGGCTGAGGAGACGGCTGCAGGAAGGGCAGGACTTGGACGGAGAGGACGTAACATCTGTGAAAGGGAGAGAAAACCTTTCTTTTCTCCACCCATAAGTCCGTTGCTGGGACAGGTTTCTGTTATGAACACGATGACCAAGAAAAACCACTGCGTCGTGTTCGCACCTGCAAGCCCCTCGCACCCCTTGGACGCGTTCCTGGGAAGCCTCTCGAGCAGCGGCGTCAGAGGCCTGCTCCGCTGCGGCGCTCGGACCAGACAGGTCACTCAGCCACAGTGACACGACAGCGAGCCAGGAAGGGCGTCCACAGGCTGCTCGAAGTGGCGAGCTGGCGACGCAGGCCGTGGGCAGAGGCGGGCCCGCGCTAGGCGGGCGCCTGCGGAGCTCCTGGGGCGGCTTCGGGACCCGCTGGGAGCTGCGGAGCCCATCTGCCTGCGGGCGGCGGGCCAGCGAGCCGTCTGGGGCGGGTGGGCGGGAACCGTCTGCAGGCGCTGTGCAGCCCATCTCTGCGGGCGGGGCGGGCGGGACGTCTGCGGCGGGGCGGCGGGAGCCGTCTGGCGGGCGGGCCGGAGCGTCTGCCGCGGGCGGGCGGCACCCGTCTGGGCGGGGGCGGGGCGGCGGACCGTCTCGGGGCCGGGCGGGCTGACCGCGCGGCGCGCCGTCCTGGGGCGGGGCGGGGCGGCAGCCCGTCTGGGGCGGGGCGGGCGGCGACCGTTGGGGCGGGGCGGGCGAGCCGGTCTGCGCGGGCGGCCGGCAGCTCTGGGGCGGGCGGGGCGGGCGGAGCCGTCTGGGCGGGGGGCGGGCGGCCAGCCGGTCGCGGCGGGGCGGCGCAGCGTCTGGGCGGGCGGGGCGGAGCCTCTGGGCGGGGCGGCGGGCGGGAGCCTCTGGGGCGGCTTCCGGGAGCCGTCTGGGCGGGCCGGCGGGCTGGACCGTCTGGGCGGGGCGGACGGAGCCGTCCTGGGGCGGCGGGCGGGAGCCGTCTGGGCGGGGCGGCGGGAGCGTCTGGGGCGGGACGGGCGGAGCCGCGTCTGGGCGGCGGCGGAGCCTCTGGCGGGGCGGCGGGAGCCCGTTGGCGGGGCCGGCGCAGCCGTCTCGGCGGGCGGGGAGCCGTCTGGGCGGGGCGACGGGAAAGCCGTCGGGCGGGGCGGGCGCAGCCGTCTGCGCCGGGCGGCGGGAGCCCGTCCTCGCAGAGACGCGGACGTCCTGGGCGGGGCGGCCGACACCGTCTGCGGCGGGCGGACCGGGAGCCGTCTGGGCGGGCGGGCGGAGCGTCTGGGCGGGCGGGCGGGAGCCGTCTGGGGCGGGGGCGGGGCGGAGGCCGTCTGGGGCGGGGCGCACGGGAGCCGTCGGGGGCGGAGGCGAGGCAGGACAGCGACGTCTGGGCGGGCGGCCCGGAGCCGATCCTGGGCCGGGGCGGACCGGACCTCTGGGGCGGGGCGGGGGAGCGTCGGGCGGGCGGGCGCACCCCGTCTGGGCGGAGGGCCGGGCGCCGCCCGTGCCAGAGCCGCTGTCCGCGTCAGGAAAGCGGAGGGCGCCGGCCGCCCCGCATCCCAGCCTCCTCGGCTCAGCGTCTTTAGGCTTTCAGAGGGGCACGTCTGGCCTCTTTCACCCGCGACGCCTTCCAGTGTGCGGGCCGGAGCGGCACCTACGCGGGCTCCGCCTGGCCCGCCCGGCCGCTTATTCAGAGGGAGAGGCGGGAGGTCGCACGGGAACAAAAGGTGGCAGTCCGGAGAATTTGGTGGCCGAGCTTGCAGATATTGTCTTTGGAGGATTTCAGTTTTTTCAGTAAAATGCGTCCCGGTTGAGGGTTCAGATAGAATAGAACAGCATGTGTTGGAAGTTTGAAAAGGGAGGAGCATAAACGAAATAGTCCCTTAGGAGACTGGAAGAGCACAGAGGTGAGGCAAGTGTGAAACGATTGCTCCTCAGCACTAAGGGCTGGCGTTTATTATGTGAGTTTCAAAGTGGCAACACCGTGTGTCGTGTCTTACCCCTCAATGGAACGGACGCTCCTGCGTGGCAGGTGCATGTTGGCTTTGTCCAGAATCACCATAGGTAACGAATTACCTGAAAGAAAAGAGGGAGGGAGCGCAGTGGCCAAGCTCAAGTCTGGTATCCCACGGCAGGCAAGGTAACCGGTGGGGCGAGATACAGATTAACTCCGCACAGGGTTAACACATCTATATTATAGGGTGAATGCATCTATATTATAGGGTGAATACATCTATATTATAGGGTTAATATATCTATACTATATAGGATTAATACATCTATATTATAGGGTTAATACATCTATATTACAGGCTTAATATATTGATACTATATAGGGTTAATACATCTATATTATAGGATTAATACATCTATACTATATAGATATAGTATCTCTATTCTTTCTCTCTCTCTCACACACACACATACACACACAACACACACACCAGGGCAGCAATACATATTGTTTGAGTGTAGAATGAATAAACTTCCCCGAGGCGTCATAGAAGATATGTTGTGTCTGTCTGTCTTTTTTACACAAAGCCCACACATGAACAAAGGGAGACATTTGCCTCAATGTATGCATGATTCTTTTAAAATAATTTGTTGTTATTGTTAGTTCCTGTGTTTTTTTAACCAGTTTTAATTGGTAAAACATTATCTAATTGACAAAGAAAAATTGCATACTGTATGTTTGAGGGGTAGAGCTTGGTGTTCTGATGCATGTGTGCATGTGAAATAATCATCACAATCAATCTAATTGACATTTCCATCACCTCAAATATTAATAGTTAAAATGTTCTGTCTTCTTTTCCTTTTTTGTGTGGTGAGAACATTTTGGCTGTACTAGACAGAGTCCTTTTTTGCCTGTCTTTGGGTCTGAGATGTCAAGATTTCAGAGAACCCAAATGACTGGGACTTGCTCCATGTCTTGCCAAGATCTAATATTCACGTTCAGTTTGTGATTTCAGAAGGCATCCTTATAGAGGAGAGATGGCCGAAGGTTGGTTCATGGATACAGAAGTACAGCTAGACAGGAGGAATAAGTTCTAGTGCTCTACAGCTCTAGAGAGTGACTATAGTAACAATGGTTTAGTGTGTATTTTCAAATAGCTAGAAGAGTGGATTTTACATGTTCCCAACACAAAGAAATGATTAATGTTTGAGGTGATGGAAACACTAATGACCCTGATTTGATCATTACACATTGCACATGTGTTGAAATAACACACGATGCCCATACATACATACAATTATGTGCCTATTAAAAATAATAAAAACAGAAGAGAAAACAGATGGAATTATATATTCGTCCCCCTAAAAAGCTGTAGACAAGGATCTAAACTATCATAAAACTGATCTTTGAAATCGCAAACATGGATAGTAGTATTTCCATGCCTTGCATACTGCGCTTTTCCTAAATATTTTTCTCCCCTCACACCCCCGCCACAGGCAATGCAGCCCCAAAATGTGTCCACTGTGACTGAGTTTCAGCTGTTAGGATTCCAGAACCTTCTTGAGTGGCAGACCTTGCTCTTTGCCGTTTTCCTGCTCGTCTACTTCCTCACCATCGCAGGGAATGTTGTCATCATCTCAGCGGTGAGCCAGGACGCGCGACTGCAGTCACCGATGTACACGTTCCTCAAGCATCTCTCGTTTCTGGAGATCTGGTACACATCCACCACTGTGCCTCTTCTCCTGGCCAACCTGCTGTCCTGGGGACAGGCCATCTCCTTCTCCGCCTGTATGGCACAGCTCTACTTCTTTGTGTTCTTCGGGGCCACCGAGTGCTTTCTCCTGGCCGCGATGGCCTATGACCGGTATCTGGCCATCTGCAGCCCGCTCCGCTACTCCTTCCTCATGAGTCCTGACGTCTGCACCAAGCTGGTGGCAATCTCCTGGCTGACAGGAGTCGGCACAGGCCTTCTGCCTTCCCTGATGATTTCTAAGTTGGACTTCTGTGGGCCCAACCGGATCAACCATTTCTTCTGCGATCTGCCTCCACTCATGCAGCTCTCATGTTTGGACGGTTTTCATGCTACGGAGTATGCTTTATCCTGTCAGTTGCTGTGCTGTGTATTTGTTTTTTTCTGACACTGGTGTCCTATGTTCTCATCTGTCCTCTCCATATTGAGAATCCCTTCTGCCTCTGGCGGACGAAGACCTTTTCCACTGTGGTTCCCATCTGGCTGTGTCACTATCTACTATGGACTATGATTCCCATGTATGTGCACCCTGAAGTCCACCAGTCACCTGAAGCCCAAAGGTCATTTCTGTCTTCTACACCGTGTCACTCCACTGCTGAACCCAGTTATCTACGCTTGAGGAACAAAGACTTCAAAGAAGTACTGTTAGAGCCATGAGAAGGAAGTGTATATCGTATGAAGAGTGTGGAGCTTATTTATAGGGAAAGGAAATCTGCACAGGACACAAGGTGATAAGTGCAGGGATTGAATTCTCCAAGCCGTAATGCAAGAGCTTCATGGAGGGTCCCTCACAACAATGGTAGAAGATTAAATCGCTTCTACCAAACCACTTGGGGCATTTTGTCCTTAGACACTTTCTTCTATCTTTTGATGGAATCTGATTGTATATTTCCGTGTATGCGATCACACACAACATTACTGTAAGTTCTACAATAAGATTTCTCTTTGCTTATAAGCCTTATACACAGAAAGTTCTGCACCTTGTAGGTACTGTTAGGAGGGCCTTGTGGACCTGAAACCTGTGGTGCCTCTGGTATTTATGATATAACTGTAGAAAGGATGACTGAAAAGGAAAATGTTTGAAATGCGTTGGATCTACATATCTTCCAGTGACAAGGAAAGAGCAATAAAGATATGGAGTGCCAATTCTATGTAAACTTAGACTTTTTAATAGTTTTGTTTAATGAAATTTTAGAAAAAAGAAGGAAGGAAGAAGGAGGAGAAGGGAAGATTCCAAGTACTTGTATCCATTATAAGCTCTGAGAGTCAAAAGATGTACACTAAAATCTTAAGTCATTTTTAATTTCTTTATTCAGCAATATTTAGAACATATATGCTATTCCTGCCCACTGTTCCATCATTAAGTCTATGAATATCTTTAATCTCCTGCTATTGCAGGACCTGCTGCTGCCGTCTCAGTTGCTGGGGACACAGGGATTGGAAGACCGGGCAGTGAAGTCCGGCCTATTACAGATGTGAACATGTCTCAGAAGGGAAGGACCGAGCAAGACTGCGCCTTAGTGAGCCTCCAGTGCAGAAGGGAAGAGAAAACTGTAGTGAACCGTAAGGAGAGATTGGCTTATGTCTGTCTGTGATTGTGCACTGTGAAACAATAAAGCGCAAGCTGGTGCATGGATAGAGCAGTGCGGCCTGAATCAACAGAGGGTTGGGAAGGGCGCTGCGTTTTCGTAAGTGCTTTAACACACACTTTAAGCACGAGGAGAACAGAAGGGCATCAGTGGTGCGGTCGGAGAGGTGGGTCCATGGCAGGAGACGGCAGGAGGACCTGGATATGGAGGACGGAGGCGGAGTCTGGAGAAAGGCGGGAGCTTATCCAGGCATGCCACTAAAAGCCTGGAGGGTTTGGATTTGCACTAAGAGAAATGATCGATCATCAGGGGTACTAATGAAGGAATGACACGATAATTTTGCATTTGCAAATCCCATTCTGCTGTTAGAAAAGACTAAAACAGCAAGAGTTTGGGGGGGTTGTGGGAGCCAGCTGGGAGAGGAAGGTGGCTTGATCTTAGTTTGACGATGTATTCATCAAAGGAGTGCCGCACGGGTGTGGAGGGGCCTGCGTGCAGTTCTGGTGTCCCGCACTCCGGTGCAGTGGCGCCTGCTTTAGCCTCTCTGAGAGGTGGCGACACGTTCTACACAAGCCCCCAGCTTCGGTGCAAGCGCACTTTTCTTCTAGCAGATATTCAGAGGTCCCCAGCCTTTTTGGCACCAGGGCCAGTTCCACGGAGACCATTTTTCACGGCCTGGGGATGAGTGTCTTGTGTGTGGGTGCAGACTCAGGTGCTGAAGCCTGGCCCGATTTCCTAAAGGCACGGACAGTCACCGGCCACAGCTCTAGCTCATGTAATCCTCTCGGCGTGTGTCTTCTGGGTTCTTTTCTTTTGTTTTCAGCATATTATGGGGTTCAAATGTCTAGGTTACGTGTTGTTGCACTTCCCCCCGGAGTCAGACTTGAAGTGTCCGTCCCCAGATGGTGGCATCGCCCCATTATGTGCTGTCCTTGGGTCTTTCACCTTCTTTCCCAGTCCTCGAGTTTTCTCTTCCTCCTGGCTTTTGCCTGTGAGAACTGGCCCTTAAGTCCTTCTCGGATCGTCTGGTTCAACGTTGGCAGAAGGAATGTGACGCCTGGAACCCGAGACAGGGCAGCACCTGCGTGTGGAAGGGACGGGCCCCACTGTCTCGGCTCTCGTGGCGGATATCGAAAACAGTCAAATGTCTTACCTCGCGAAGGGTCTCGGATTAGTATATTAATGGACTTTTTATACTTAACCAAACTTACCTTCCCGAATTCTAGTGTGTTCGATTTGGTAGGTGGCTGACCTCTGGGTACAGAGAGAAAAGATATTGATCCATACATGACGAACTTTGAGAAGTTATGCACATGGAATTCATATGTAAGATCTGGAGCTCAGAGAAGGCCTGGGCTGAAAGTTAAAAATTGGAAGTTTTCAACATAGAGATAATATGTTAATATGGAAATGTAAAAAACTTTTAGGGGGAGTGGTGTATATCAGAAAACTAGAGAGAGACTAACAGCATGAAAATTAATTAAAAGAAGAGAAACCCAGAGAAAGAACAAGAAGGAGCGAGCGCAGGGAGAGGCCTGCTGTGGAGGGAGGCTGTGCACGCGCTCTGGGAGCCGCGGGAGGAAGAGGCAGCAGGATGGAGGGCGGAGTGAAGAGGCTTCCGCGCTGTCTCAGCACAGAGATCGCCGTGGTCCTGGCAAGGGGCCGCGCGCTCTGGCATGGGCGTCGCACTTCAGAGCTTGTGACGTGGGGCGGAATGGCTTGTAAGAAAATGGAACAATCGTGCGTGCAAACAATTATCCCGAGAAATGTATTTGAGAGGTGAGAGAAAGAGTCATGTTGGGGGTAGTTGTATTTCGGTAGATGTAAGATGTAAATGTCAGGGTCTGAGGAAGTTTTAACGCTGCGGGGAAGGTCCATGAGTTATCAAAATCTAAGGATGGATACAGAGACTGATAACTGACAGCCTGAGATTGAACAGGAAGGGATCTAGGGCAAATGTGGAATTTCAGCATTCAATTGGAAATTTTATTTACTGAGGAGACAGAGAAGAGAGGTTAGCTGCGAGCTGATGGGTTTAAAGGTGTACAGCGATGGAGACAGCACTCGCCACAGTTTCTCACCTGCGGACTTACTGGCTGGCTCATGTTTCTGAGACATGCTCAATAGCTTTTATTCGCCATAGAGATCGTAGGTCCAGGTTTGGAGTGCAGAGGCATTCCACACTCACTTCGCAAAATGGGTGATAGCTGGATGGGAAGACAGAGGGCGGATTTGGGGGCAACGTGAGGCTTAGGTAAAGTAGGTATCATTGATTTTGTTGTACTGGCCTGCCTGTATAGGAGGTAAGTGAAACAAGAATAGAATTCGAGTGAAAAATAATTACACAGCTTCTAGTAGGGGTATTTGAGCTATGTGGACTAGAGGTTTGTGTGTCTAAATTAGGAATTAGACATTTTTAGTTTGGGCTGACAACAAAGCCAAGATGGCTACGAGAATGAGTGAGATAATTAAGGCATGAAAGGAAAGATGGTTACATGGGGAGGGAAGAATTCGATGTAGGAAAGAAATTCATGACCCTAGTGTCATCTGCAAACGAGAGGGAGTAGCCACTAGTTCAGTGAATTGTCCCCATGAGAGGGAGCGGGTTGTGTGCTTCAATAGCATGAGCCTTGAAAGAAGATGATTGTAAAAGAGAGTGCGGGGGAACAACACCCTAAAAAGAAAGCATTACATTGCACGAAATATAGCTAGTCCGAACTGACCTTGAAAATAAGGGTCAGTGCGAGATGTAAGCAGCACGCCACGTTCGGCTCAGTCTGTACAAAAGGTGGGTAGATTTATGAAGAGTGATGGCTGACCAGAAACATGAGTTCAAAGGAGGATTTCTGTGGTCGGCTCGGGGCTGTCAGAGCTTTCAAAGGCCTCCCCTGGGGGGGTTATCATTCCTGTCCAAATGTGTCCCATAGCAGCCGAATATGCCAGGTGGGATTATGGCCAGCGTCCCCATATTGATGGAGGGAGCATTTCATGGTGTTTAAAGTGAGACACAATTTGATTCTTTGCTCCCCTTACAAGCATCTCCAGACCACCGTTCAGTGTACAGCGTACATGAGCATCACATGCTCTGTTGATTATTACTTTTGTTTGGTGTCGAGAAACTAAATGTATCATCTTTTTTAAGGAATAATTTCAGAACTTTGAAATGTTTTTGTCATAGAGAGAATAAGGAAAATTGTACAAGAGTTTTCATAAAGTCCACCCCTACTGTTGTGAATAATTCTTGCAACTGTATGTTTTACCAATGGAACCATACCATATATTATTTTTCTGATTGTTATAAGAAATTGAATCATGTGTTTAATCTGACTATTAAATGTACAAAATGAAAAATAACACATTCGTTATGATATAACATCATTTTGTGTGTGTGAAATATACTACCTTACCAACAATTTAATGATGGTAAAGAAAAGGGAAATTGATATTCAATTGTCATGAAAATAGAGAAAACATTCTGTTTTCATGAAAATGGTTGAAAAATTGATAGGATTAATATTCCTTTTCCATTTCCTCTTCTTAACTACCAATCACATGGGTTTTACTAGAAAGATCCTTATCTGACTCTGTCATATCCTAGAAATAATAAGTGGAAAGTGAACCCAAATTCTCTGTTGGGCTTTTCTTCTTTTATCCTATGCCTAAGTTTGTTTTTGTTGTTATTGTTGTTGTTTTAACTAATTGAATATGAGGAATGTAATTCAAATTATATTTTCTGTCCCATTTGTAAGCTTTCTCTTCCAACTCTAAATCTTTAGTTTATGCCTCAAAGAATCGGCCAAAATCTGTGTAGTTGAAAACCATCTCCCATAAAACTCTTATTGACACACATACACAAAACACAAAACAAAATAAAACTGTATGAAACCAACCCTGTCCTATGTTATTAGCAATTGATATTTGGTTCCATAACATGTTATTTTTTGTATCTGTCACTGGCCAACACAGAACTAAAGGTTCAACCTGATGATTCCAGCTACATGCTGACACATTTTTGTGTGACACATTTCTTATATATGTATGTTCTCTTAAAGATTAGTTGTCCCTAAA